ACTGTAGCTGACCATTGTAAGCCAAACTTATAATTCCTTGTACATTTGTTTATCTTGTATTATATCTGTTCCTCTAGTAAACCCTGACTGATACAGATTTTGGTACCAGGAGTGGCTCTAGAGAAACAGAATTGTAAGAATGTCATTCCTTAATGGCTTTAGGGGTTACTGGAATTGGCTCTGTAAATTGATGAGACCTAAAGACACCATGGTCTCTCCTTCTACTTCTGCCGGGTATACGGATAATCCTTGGCGTGCATTGTTTGACCTAATACGCCATGTAGATCCATTTGATTGTCCTAATTCACCACTTGTGAGATGTCAGGAATTTAGCGACTCTGTGCATGGATATTTTGAATTTCTTTTGCAGAGTAGGGAATATAATGATGCTGGCTGGTTGCTTTTAGCAGCCCTGGACAAACTACTGAAGGAAAACAATGAGCTCAACACGTCCCTAGAAAGTTTAAAGTCTTCTGGCTGTGAGGACAAATAAAGAAAGGAAAATAAGGAGCTCAAAGATACAAATTCCCTTCTCCAGACACAGATAAGAAATTTAAAAGTTTCTAAGTGTGTCCTGAAGGAAAATCTCCTTTCTTTTAATCAAAAAGCTGAGATTGCAGAAACTCAAACACAATCTCTCATAATTCAATTGGCTGAACTGCAACATAAGTTTAATGCTCAGCCTCGAAGGGTATCTGAAGCAAAAGTGAGGGCACTGATTGGAAAGGAATGGGATCCCATAAACTGGGATGGAGATGTGTGGGAGGATCCTGAGGAAGTTGATGATGTTGAGTTCCTAGATGCTGATGAGATTATTTTGCCAGAGGAAGAGGTCTCCCCACCCGCTCTGGCAGAGGCGTTGCCGCCTCCACTCCCTGAGCTGTTGGCATCTCCTAGTATGCCTCGGGAGACTCGTCCTGTGCTAATGCCACAAAATGATGTTGACATTCCTCAGGACCCACCCTCACCCCCCATTTTTGCCTCTAGGCCCATAACCAGGCTCAAGTCACAGAAGGCTCCTAAGGGTGACGTACATACAGTAACCCACGAGGAGGTCCGCTATTCTCCCAAAGAACTCCTCGAATTTTCTAACTCTTACAAGCAGAGGCCTAATGAGCAAGTGTGGGAATGGATTTTACGAGTGTGGGACAATGGTGGAAAAAATATACACCTGGATCAGGCTGAATTTATTGATATGGGCCCATTAAGCAGAGATTCTGAATTTAACGTTGCAGCTCGTGGAGTAAAGAAAGGTGTTAATAGTTTATTTGGCTGGTTAGCAGAAGTGTGGATCAAGAGAAGGCCCACTGTGAATGAGTTAGAGATGCCTGACGTTCCATGGTTTACTACTGAAGAAGGGATTCAGAGGCTTAGGGAAATGGGAATGCTGGAATGGATCTGTCAAGCTAAACCTAATCCTCCATATTGGGACGATCCAGAAAATATATCCTTCACTAACACCCTGAGAAACAGATTTGTGAGGGGAGCACCA